CATCTAAATGCGAATACAGTATGTTTATGATTGCATATGACCTAAATGAACTTACAAAAAGGAAGAAAAAAATCCTAATCCTGTCCTGCAGGGAGGAGAACAGAGTTGTGGAGCTGACACACAAAAGCAGGAGGGAAATGTTTCCAACTGGGTATCCTTTCACCATTTCCCCACATTATTTCACCCAATACTAAATCCAAATTATAAAACTTTCAAAGACCAGGCATAACACGCTTTCTTGGCCTTTCAATCCCTGGGAATTGGCTACATGAAGATCAACAGGTCCATTCCAATTCTGATGTAGTCTTCATCCTCCTTGATTTCTCCATGGCATTAATAAAAGCATTTTCTATGCGTCTGTAACACATTTTCTTGACTTTGCTCTTACCTTTGGGAAAGTCCTTTTCAATTTTCCACAGGATTTCTTATTCATCTCATCTGTATTCTGCAGTGTGAAAAAGTACCCATCCTACTTGTCTCTACACTGGACACAAGTGACAAATCACTAGGGCAGGAATCCTTGAACAATGAATCCATGAGACCCCACATGCTCCCCTTTTGGAAACCTAAGAAACACAACTGCTATAATTCCACCAGCTTCACCCCAATCCACAGATTTCCCCCCCCCTTGCCACCTACCACCCCACAGACAACTTCACACACACCTGGACATGGCTGACTTACTCTACTTTTTGCTGCTAACCAAAATGCCCTAGGCTAAGGCAACTTAAAAAGGGTTCATTGAGCTCACAACCCTGTTTCCGGGAGAGCCCAAAGCCTGGTGCCAGCATCCTGGTGAGGGGCCTCTGGCCACTGTAACAAGTCATAGGAGCAGTCTATAAGCACAAGGGGCGTGTGTGCAAACAGAGAAGCAAGAGAACGGAGAAAGGCTAGGCTTGACCTTTGATAACAATCCACTGCTGTGCCTATGAAACCCACACTGCTCCACCAAGCTGGCATTAATCCATTATAAAAGTGGAACCCTATTACTTACACTCTCCACTAGGCCACCCTGCCAACAGTTTGTCCACCTCAAAATCACAGTAGAGGGCCAAGCCTCCTGACAAGGACCTCTGGGAGACAAACTATAACCAAACTACAGCAGTGACCAAAGCCACAATTTAAGAAAGCATCAATTCTCTCTCCATGTGACCAGCGGGCCCTTAAAGCTACTTATTTCCCTTGATTCTTCTCTTTCCATACCTCCTGTCAAGGTATTAATTTAGGCCCATTATTTTTCTGGACTCAAAAACTCAAATTATCTTGCCTACTTCCAGCTTCACCCTTTTCCAGTCCAGTCTCCACACTGCATACTAAGTCTAAACCAAAGTGCAAACCATCCAAGTTTTTTAAAACTCTATAGCTATTGCCCCCAAGTTACACTACTGAGGTAACTCTTTATTATTTTGTGAGAACAACTGAAACAAGTATCTTCTCCATGTATCTGAGTATCTAGGATACAGCCATACATTATCCAAGTCTATGCCTGTAATCACTCTAACATACTAACTACTCCCACTGCCCAAGATAATGCATGCGGAATCAAAGACTGCAGATCTGACACAGAACTGACCTCTCCCAAAGAAACAGGATGCTTTTATTTTCCAAAATCCCACAGAAAGGCAGTGAAAGAACTGTGTCCTTCCAAGGTAGTGGCAGTGCTGTAAAGTTAAACTCAGAAAAAGACTTGTTCCTTACAATATTTATTGTAAGCAACTTGCAAAATATATCGTAGGACATGTTATGTTAACATCAGATTATTTGTACTTTGTTTTGTAGCTTCATTACTAAAACATTTATATTACAGTATTAAAAACAGAAACAAAGAATTCAGCTTAATGTAGAATTTAACAGAAGCAAGCTTCCTGAGTTCCCTAAATATGCTCTGCATTCACAACCTAATGTAGCTCACCCCAGATCTCCAGCTAAATTTTAGAAATTATCTTGTTTTAAATTTTTAAGTTATTTTCTCTCTCCTCCCTCTCCGTGTGTCTGTGTGCACACGTGCACACGCACGCACGCACGCACGCACGCACGCACGCACGCACGCACATGCACATGAGCACCCTCTTCTTCTACCTTCACATGGGTCCTGGGAACGGAACTCACATCATCAGACCTGGCAGCAAGGGCCCTTAACTGCTTAGCCATCTCACCCACCCAAAACTACTATCTTGCCTCTACTGCCTCCTTAAAATATCAAATCCTATCTCTGAAACTTTGAGGTATCTTTGAAAAGTCAGTCTCTCTCTCTCTCTCTCTCTCTCTCTCTCTCTCTCTCTCTCTCTGTGTGTGTGTGTGTGTGTGTGTCTGTGTGTCTGTGTGTCTGTGTGTCTGTGTTAATCCAAAGCCAATGCCCACTCAATCCTACTGACCCACTCGAATGTAATTAAAAACCACTTTGAAAAGATCTTACATTTGAAAATACCATTCATTAGCAATAACTTCTTCAATACAGAAGACATACATCAAGATCAGAGTTTATAGTCGGTCAATCCTGTTTAAAAACTTAAACTGCTGACTATCCCCAGTTCCAAAAATATTTTAAAACTTAACAATGAAAAACGTACTATAGCCGAGCTTACTACATATCAAGATTTCTGTCAGCTACATTTCCCAGCTTTCTTTATGCAGTACCGTCACAAAAACCATCAGCTACTGCACCACGAGTATGTTCTCTGCTTGTAAAGATAGTGTTACTCCCAAAGGGAGTCTGTTTTTAAAATTGCAACAACTTGCTGGGCCATGGTGGCGCACGCCTTTAATCCCAGCACTCAGGAGGCAGAGGCAGGCAGATCTCTGTGAGTTCAAGGCCAGCCTGGTCTACGGAGCGAGATCCAGGAAAGGCGCAAAGCTACACAGAGAAACCCTGTCTCGAAAAAAAACAAAAAAAAATTGCAACAACTCCCATCATGGCTACTTACCTAAAACTTTTAAGAATCAGATCAAGGCAAGACCAGGCATCATAAACTTCATACAGAATGTCAGAAAACAATGAAAACAAAAAGCACTTCCAAACCTGTGTTGTATGACTTTATTAAATAAACATTTATTACCACTACCTAGAATCAGGTGGCTAGTAAATCAAACATCAAGGCTACTTACTATGTGCAAGCTTTTGAGTTACTGTACAAAACAAAAACAAAACAGAGTCCCTGCTCCCAAGGAGCTCACAATCTAGCTGAAGTACAGGCACAAACACAATGGCAAAGCAGAGCAGTCACCATGGAAGAAGGGACGGGATTCCCAGAGATGCAGGCAATGGAGTGGAGCCTCAGCTGAGGAGTTCCACCAGATGGAGGGGGAGGGGAAGCACATTCCAAGCAGAGGGAACAGCACAGAAGCAAGCAGGTCCTGAAAGCGCATGCCAGGCTGCAGGGTGAGCAGCGGTCCAGAGCAGCTAGAGCGGGTCCTGAAAGCGCATGCCATGCTGCAGGGTGAGGAGTGGTCCAGAGCAGCTAGGGCAGAAAGGTGCACACAAACTAGAGACGAATTAGTGTTTGGTTTTTAATGAACCATAACTGTCAGGAAGTAAAGCTTCAAATTACATTGAATGAGGCTAAAATGCGATTCTGGAAACAACAGGATAATTTAAAAGCATTCTCTTCGTTTCATAAATAGTTAGGTCCACAGTGCAGGTGGCACTGTGGCTGGAGTTTTAAAGTGGCAGTTTTAGAAAACCGTGACTGTCACATATACACATATACATGCATACACACAGGTACACTGGTGCATGTATGTGCTTCAGAAAAGGAAAAGACAAGGAAGCAAAGAGCTCAGCCAGAAAGCTTCCTATACGAACACTATGCTAAGCAGGCAGGGTAGCTTGGTGCTCAGCAAGCTGGCTACAGTTTACGGAAGAAAGGGGCAGTTTAGGAGGGGGAAAAAGGAAATAGCAGAGGTCAATATTCTGCTAAATGTTTTTATATAAATTCTTACTTCTTTTTCACAACAATGCTATGGGAGAAGTTTTATTACTCTATTCTACAAAAGACCTCAGGCCTTCAGAGGCTTCAACTTCAGAAAGCTGTCTATCTGTATCCGATATTGCACTACGATAGACTGTATCGACTAACACAGCACAGCCAGTTCACCAAGCCCCCGCCTGCCTGAGGCAAAGCCTGGTTCCTGAGTGCAAAGCCTGCTGTACTTCTGACGGGTCTGGCAGGGTTACATCCGTCAAATCCTATGAAATACCTCTACTTTTCGCTCTTTATTTTCACAGGATTGTTGCGAGAAAGCAGTGATGGTGTAACACACAAACACAGACTCCTAAAATTTAGAGGAATGAAAGCCTTTAACAACTGATAACAAAGTCACTGAAATCACTGACTTAGGCATCTGCAGTGGTGACGTCCACCTCAACTCCTGACTCAGCACTAAGGGCAGTAACCTACCTAGAGGAACCATGCAAGTCAAGGACCTGTCCGTGGGTCATACATGCCCAGTTGTCCTTGGAAGAACAGAAGCTTTTTTTTTGTAAAGATACTGAAGCTTTAATCAAATTAACATATTCAAATATGACTTGTTTGTATAACTATGGAATAATCAACCAAGCAACTCCAAAAAATTAAGGGCTAGTGAAAAAAATCTGTGAGGATGAAAATAACATCTATGAGTCAGTGTCATCGACATCGTTAAAGTCACACTGCCCCTCCTCAAATTTTGAACTTCACAATTACTATGCAATTACACACTATGTGGCAATGTTGCCTCTTTTTAGCAAACAGAAAAAAATACTTCAAAAAAAAAATCACAAAGTATAGTACATGTTAGTGGTCTATCAACATACTGAAGAAATGTTGTTTTCTGCTAGGCACAACTACTCACACTTTCTCTGTTCAAGTACTTCCAAATAGAGAAAAATAAACCCTACTTGTAAGTTTTCAAATACTCTGTAATGGTGAAAGACATTCAAACAATGGCGACCTCAATGGCACATGAAACCCTTCTGGAGAGCTTGGGAAGCGCATGTCTACGCTGTGAGTAAATTCACCAACCTTGTTCTGATTGAGAGGATCATTTCGCAGTCTCTGTTTGTTCTTCTGTAATTTACTAGGCATCATCTTGCCAGTTCTGAAGTCAAAACTGCTGAGGTCAACGGCATTTCCCAGGTACCTTGCCAGCTGAGGTTTACTTCTGAACTTCTTACCACTTGGACTAGAAGAAATAAAAGTTTAATTATACAAGAGGAAATATTAATAGCCTCTATATAACCTTTTTAACAGTAATTTCTGTTCCTGATTGTTACAAATTATAATTATATGGGTTTGGTTTAATTTTGGAATTATTACAAGTTTTGAAGGAACTTCTTAACTTTCTGCAGAAAGAGATATTGTATCATTTAATACAGCTCTCCCTTGGGTGCACACTGTACATGCTGCTACAGGTTATCTTGCTATCACTCACTCAGCTAATTGCCTGAGAATGAGCACAGCCACATGCACAGCACACACACTCCCTGAAAGAGTCTGCCTTCTCACCAACTTCTTTCCAAACTGTCTTTTGAAAATACCGGTTTATACACAATGCCAAGCGCTCAGTAGCTAGCTTAAAATAAATGAATTTGGAATCCACATAATCTGGCATAAGCTTACAGTATCTGCAATAGTAAAAATAAAGAAACTCAAATTTTGACATGTAAATGCTTCCTATTAAAACTATAACTACTGAAATGAAAAACAAGCAAGAACATCTGTGAACTTGTTTATACAATTCTGACATGACTTTTGTTTGACAAACTAAATAAGCATATTAAGTGAGCAGGTTATATTTAGGGATATATATTTATATGCATATATGCATGCAACAACTAATAAAAAAAGAGGCCATAAATTTGAAGACAACCTGAGAGGAATATATATGAGGATTTGGAGTGAGGGAAGGGGAGTAATTATATTATAATTAATGTTGTAATTACATTATAATCTCAAAAGTAAAAATAAAAAAGCACAGAGATCTAAAGAGAGAAAAAAATAAATAAATAAAATAAGGCTATCAAAAATAACTTCTTTTTAGCCAGGTGTGATGGCACAGGCCTGGCCTATAATCCTAGCACTTAAAATGTGGAGGTAAATGGTCAGCTTCAACCACAAGCTACTTCCAGACTAGCCAGGGCTATGAGACCCTGCTTCAAAAAAGCCCAATAAATCAATAACTTACTTCTTGTAAACAAAAAAACTGCCGAAGATACAAAATTGTAAATACGCCAGAAGTATACAGGACAGACTTGCCCTAAAAAGGATCTCTGTGTGATTAATCTGTGAAACTGTTTTTTAGGGACAATGTCCCTAAAGTCTTATCTAATAATTTTTATAAGCCAAATAGCTAGAACAGACCGTGAGAATTCTGCAGAAGACCCTGAGAATTCCAGAAGGCATCTCACAGAGGCTGACATGCCGTACCAAGGATTTAACCTTGCAATAACTAGTCACAATAAGTGAAAAATAATTCAACAACAAAGAACTTTGAAACACTGGGAAACAAAACAATGAAACATTACTCTGGACTAAAGTAACTTCAGACTCAAGTCTAAAACACAGTGCATGTCATCTGTCACATTCTATGGTATTCTGTCATCACAAATTTTGGACAGCTGGAAGACCTATTAACCTTTGTTTTTCACAATCCCATGACTTAAACATTCTGGGAACACAAATCAAATTACACAAAATTCATCCAACAGATGACAATTACAACCACCAACTACCAGACCATAAGAGAATAAAAGTAGCCAAAACCAAAATCCATTCTGGGAAAGAAGACATGATCACATACAGAATACCTCAACTCCAATTGCAAGTAATATTGGAAAATGTGCTCAACACCTCAAAGTAAACCATCAGGGTACTTGCAACACTGCCCAGACCTTGACCATCACTACCAACCACATGCTTCCCACCTCACTCCCGGCCTGTACTTGATCTGTTCTTCCCATCTTTGCCAGTGGCATCACGGCCCAGGTAGCACCTATTCCTCCAAGCTGGATGGACACTAACAACCCTTCAGCTCCCACATCCCTTCGCTACCCATCCAGCACCAAGTTCAAATTCTGCATGCTCAGATTCCCCAAGGGTGACAAAATGCCTTTCCCTCCTTAGCACATCATCAAAAGAATTCAATCAAATACATTGTTTGCAGACTTTCTCCTGTCAACTAAGGAATCCTGGATTCCAACCTCAGTCACTGAAATATGCCATATACCTTTGATTCTTCCCAGTATTTCTTTCCAGATAGGATGAACCTGTCAGTGAGATATTAAATTCTTCAAGCCCACCTAAATCGTCATGTGCCTATGTAGCCTTGTTCTTCTCCAATCCAGATGAAAATCAATTGCACAATCTCCTGAAATTTTACTTCATTACAATTCCTGTATATTTCCTTGATTCCTATGTATTTCCAACAACCAAATAATATAAACCCCTTTTTCTAAAACTCTCAAATGTCATAATCTAGAGGCAACCATTGAACAAAGTAACTTTCTGAAAGCAAGAAGCCTGTCAATTGAATAAGAAAGAATGTAGTTTCTTTTGCAAACACACTGGGATAAATCATATACTTAAAATGTTCAGCTTTAGTCAGTTTTACTACATAAGTCTTACTAAATCACTCAAATTAATTTGAAACGCTGTAAAAATTATTGTATTTCTCAGCCTTTTCTATGATTATAGTTTTAATTAAGCTAGAATACCCATGAAGTCCTTGTAATCAAATACTCACGTGACTGGTCAAGAACAGTCTGATAAACTATCTCAAAGATGGAGTGAATAAGGGAAGGGAGGAGGAAGGGAGGGAGAGAGGGAGGGAGTTAGGCTAGCAATGCATGTTGTGATCTCAGCTACTCAGAGGCTGAAGCAAGAGAGTATGCAAGGCCAGCCTGGGTAGCTTTTAGGAAGTAAAAAGTGATGTAGCTCAGTGAGAGGATGCTCCCCTGGCATCTACAAGGCCCTCCAAGTATCTCCAGTACATAAAAAAGAACCAGAAAATATCTTTCCTCAAAATACAGTAATAATTCTTAATCAGATTTCCTCCTAAAGATCCTTTTAATGCAATAAAAATGGAGCTCCAGCATGGACCTCCTTTCAATTGACTTATTTTCAGAACTTGAAAATATTCAGGCAGTAACTCTTACCAAAAAGATAGGCACCACTGTGCTTAGCATGTGGCTGAGACAAATAGAAAGTCATTTTGGGAAGAACCAATAAATTTCAAAGTTGAATGTGCAAGAGGTTTTTCCTTATGTGTTAAAAGTCACCTTGAGAAGACACCAGTACCTCATCAAGTGTCAAGGCTTCTACAGAGAAAAAGTCATTAAAGAGGCTACCCTCTAGACACTTCTCTCCTCAGACTCCAAGGAGACATAAATACCCAAGGACTATCTGGGCACAGTCCAGGGGTACAGAGCTGGCCCCGCAAGCCCAAGGCCCAGGGTAAAAGTCTCATATACTCCACTAATAAACGCCACAATCCAAGAAGGGTAAAAACGCAGAAGTTTGCAATATTAGCAACATCAAGGTGCCAGTAAGTCCTGCTTCCCTCCTGTCACACAGATGGGACTCTGCAAGGCATCTGGCAGGTATGTGCCATGCAGAAAACTCAGGACAAGCCACTGCCCTTTCCATAACAAGCGCCTAGAAAGGAAACCTGCCTGCCCCAGGGAATTTTAAGACCAGAGACCTTGTTCTGTAGGAGATAGGGACAAGCAACAGGAGGACAAGGCCCAAGAGATAGTTAAGGAGGAAATGTACTCATGAGATTCAAGCCATCCATCTGCACAGCAGCAACTGACCCTGTGAGTGCCTGGCTGAGCACACAGTGACTGCATTCCCATCCACCCTCTAAGATGGCTGCTACCCATCCGCATCTCAGAAATACTAGGACTCACAAAGTGACTAAGCTTTTATTCTAGAATGTCAATTAATTTTTTATTCTAGAAGTATCAATTCATAACTTAAGTTTACAGTATTGCTTTTTTTAACACTAGTAGACTGGTGAATATTAGTCATTTTCAGTTTGCTCTGACCAGAGCTAATCCAGTAATGAAATGCTATCTCAGTTTCAACCACAAACAAAAATTCCCTGTCAGCTACCCCCATTCCTGAGCTAACGTTCAACCATGCATTTCTCTTACCCACTATTTAATTAAAAATCAAAACCATGAGTGGAATCTCAGTTCATATGAAGACAATTCATCACTTGAGCCCAAGCTCCTTTAATTTCTGTCAAACTGTTTAAAGTGATTGTTAAACCTAACTCCACCTTAAAGACTCTTAAATATAATTATCCGAAAGAAACTTTATGTAAAAAAAAAAAAAAAAAAAAATGAACAACTGTCCCTGAGACACCAGAATACTGTGAACTCACCTAGAACCATCTTCACCTGAGGCAGACAACCGCATCTTACTGTGCCACCCTGTCTCCTCAGGCCTGCAGTATGCAACCAGAACTAGACTCTGAAGCGCCTTCACTAACCCAGGACACATCGATGGCATGGTGAACTACAGCTTTCGTAGCTGTTTCTAAACGATGAGCTGTGAGCATGGCAGTCACTACAGTGGAATGAGACACAGCTGTCTGTGAGGGTCGGGGCCTCTCAGAAGGCACAGGGCTAGTTAGATGCAGATCATGCTCAGAAGTACACCACTACCCACCACGATCAAGAACTTTTAAGGAATTAAGGAAAACACACACACACACACACATACACACACACACACACACACACACACACACACACACACACCTAAATACTTCAAGACTGGAAGAGATTAAACTACTGAAACCTCAACTTAAAAAAAAAAGTTGTGTTTTTTGAAATGCATGGACATTTGGCCTGCATGGATGTCTGAGACCCACATGTGCGTTGGCCCTGTCGCTCCTGGAACTGGAGTTACAGACAGTTGTGAGTCACCATGTGGGTGCAGGGAAGGAAATGCATGTACTCTGGAGGAGCACTGAGCCATCTCTCTGACTCCTTAAACTTTTCAAGTTGTTTCTTTACCCCTTTAAATTGTTCAAAGTTCAGTAAATATTCGAAACAAAAGATTTCCTTAACATTAAAAACAACTCCCCCAGAAACCAAATTTTATCTGAAGCTAAAATGTGAAACTGGAATTATCTTGTGTACTTAAATACAAACCCTGTTGTCAGAAAATTGCCAA